AGAAGGATGCTTCTTGTTAAAATTTTTATTATTTCCTTTTCTCCCATATGACGGGCCCCCGCACACGACGATGAACGTCGGCGCACACCATAGCAGTATAATATTGACTGGGTAAAAGGACAGCTAGGAATGGGATGAAGAGGAGACTGTTGTTCGAACATAAAGTAAAGCGCTGCAAGGCAAGAGGCGTACCGGTAGCGCGCTCTACAGCCATCAAACGAAACTCACTGCCACTGTGTTCCCCGTATGCTATTCCCCGGCGGCTGATTGTAGCGCTGCGCGTGCTTATCTAAGAGAAGAGGAAATGGCTTCCCTCTATATTTTTGGTCTTTCTCTTTTAAGCTCATTTCTGTTTCGCGCTGTTCCTCGTTTGCCCTCAAATATCCATCCCTCACTTCCCTCTGTAACATGCTTAGAAACTATATTCTTTGCAATGTAGCAAAAACAAGTTGAGCTTTTAAAATGATGTTCTCTTTTCATACACGAAAAAAATTTCCTTCACCCAAAGAAAAGTCACTCCAGTGACTCAAGAAATTTGTCGTTGAACAAGACAGAAATTTAATTTTAAGTTTTCAAGGAAACGATTTTCTAGTCAAACCTGGCGTTGTAGGCGCTATGCAATTTGGCGGGTGATTGGTGTGGAAGGTCCCCGCACAGGATGTGTCCGTGTAGTCAATCAAATACTCTAGAACTGCTTTGAGTCATATTCTCGCACCATCTATGTGATTACGAACCGGATGTGCACCACCCAGGGTTGGCATGAAGAATTAAATGGTGCTAAATGGGGCGAAAAGGGGCAGAATGTAATACAGCTGGGGACACCTACCGACTACAAAACACTACTACAAAATTCGCAGTCGACGGCTTCATGAGCGTGAGCTAGGTCGGGCATCGGCTGACGATAATGGCACTGTAGTGTGACGTGAAGTGCTAAATTTTTTGACAAAATTTGACTCAATTTAGATTTAATTTAATACTCTATGCCAACCCTGGCACCACCAAACTGTTGC